AATTTTTCAATGAATTGCCTGATTTTTTCAACTTTTACCAGTTTTTTTTCCAGAAACCCTTCACAAAATCTCAGATTCTCATTCAGATTCTGTATGATTAACTGATCACCACTCAACATTGATTGAGATATATGTGTGTGTGTTTGGAAGCATAAATGGATTCGCAGACCATAAATAATTTCCGATTAGTAACGGATTATAAAAAGCAAATTTATTTCCTTCTCACAAAATGCATTCATTTTTCATTCACTCACTATTCGATCGTATTGTTGATCATTATAGCATTAATGCAAAATCGCACAACAATTGCACGCTTAACGCACACGTTTCCGTTGATCGTCCAAATCAATCATTTCTTAAATATGTATGTATGGAAATCCATATTTTTCAACTCTAAAAAAAACTACGAATTTGATAATACTCAGCGATAAATCAATCAGTATTATTGTCAGTCTGTAAGCATATCTAATTCTATGAAATATACCGTTAGAAACTTTCATCTAACTTGATAAAATGTTCCTCAAATGAAACAACTTAATCGAATGATCATCGCATTTCCATTGCATCCAGCTAACTGTAAGCTTTTGGTATTAGTCAGGAAGTTTCACGTCTTTTGTTTCGTTGACTTCATTTCATAAATATTATTCAACATCACAGTAACCGTTGATATTCCACAAACGTTTCATCAATCAATTACACTGTATTACAGTTTCATTAATGACCATTTATCACCTTAGCACATCAAGCAAATGCTATCTAGTTATTTTGATATAATGCATGTTGATCGCAAACCATGCAAAGCATGACAACGAAAACAAATACTTCTGATTGTCATTGTCAGCGTTATTGTTACAAATATTAAAAATAATATTCCTCAATAAAAATATTAAGCAGAACAAGACTCATGTTTACACTGTATAAAAAAACTAGAATTGTCTAAGTCTGAGTGGTTTGCTCAGTTTTTTTCCAAACTTACTTCGTCTCGTCGGAGTTTTGGGGAGTTATACGAAATGACTAGAGCAGTGAAGATAGGACGATAATTATAACGAGAAAAATATTAATGAAAATAACGACACGACTGCAAAACAAGTCATGTGGATAAGTTCAGCTATCTTATATCCTCATTAATCTTAATTATTTCGAAACTTCCCGTTTGATCTCATTGGATGAATTAATCTCGCAATCAATAAACTTATTGATCGATTTGGATTAATCTGATCTCGTGATGCTCTTATGACTAATCAATCGATCGATGCATTCATTAATTCGGTTGTTTACATATGGATTCGATATATCTCTGACGAGATGAAATGCATTGACATATAAAAAGCAATTGAATGGTGCAGATCTCTTCTCCGCTCGAATGCTTGCTATCATTTCTTGCAATATACGATGATGTAATACGTGAAATTGATCAAGAGAAAGTTGGTGCTGAATTCTGCATCATTTGAAAGTATTTCTGAAAGAACACTGAGAATTCCTGGAAATCTGAGACTAATTCAGTTGTTTTCATGAAGTAAGATTCTATGACTGATAAATTCTTCCCTAAAAGGTTGACACTCGATTCTGATGATTCTGTAATGAATCTATCTTTGTGCTATCGGAGAAATATGACGATTTCATTGAGAGATTAATGAAATCTCAAGTAAACCAACACTGCATGCGAAGTAAATTTACATTTGCATTTGCATTTGCACTTGCACCTAAATTCAATATTCGCATATCAAATTTTCTGACGCACATTAGCGAGTAACATTAGATGAGAAGCTTTGGAAATATTGAATTAATGCGTTGTGTGATTATATTGATTGTGGCATTTCTTAGCAAGCAGCATGCATGCATGTGATGATCAATCCGTGATGGTGTGCTTTTTTCGGTTGCTTATTGCTAGCTTTTTTTGTGGCTTTCACACATTATCATGCACACAACACACATTTTTACGAGACGAGACGATTTTAAAGCGAGCTCCTAACCACATGCACGATAGTGATATTTTCAGTGATATCTGAAGCATGCGAATTGACATCATTTTAGAGAATAAGCTAAACGCATGGCTTAAGAAAATTCATTTATTACAATTATTATTTGTTTTAAACACACATTCCCCTTTATATCCCTTTATATCCTGGATTATCGTAATAGTAATGCAATTATCAAGGAACGAAAGCAAGCACACACGAAAGCATATTTTTTTATTTCGTTCTTATAAGATTTTACAGATGCATTGGGTTTGTTTTGTTTTGTTTTCATAAGCAAAAAGCAATCTTTCAATTGTTCTCATTGGAATTTCCACTGCTCCCGTAAAAAATTTGTGGAAAATCAATCATTTTTTGTTGTCATGCTTTAAAGTGAACAATTTTCGTCACGATTCCATCGTCGCCGTCGTTGCAGTCCAGTCTCATTTATCTAACAGCCGTCAGTCTCATTGCAGTGATGCAGTGGGTGGTGATCGAACTCTCCAAATTGACTTTTCGAATTCCAATTTGTTTTTCTGAGCGGCGGAATTTTCGACTTTTTTCTATCACATTTTTCTCGACTCCATCGGAAAAACCACCGAATTGTCAGATGAATTTTTCCAACTTACAAATTATTCCGATGAGTAATGAGCGCAAGCGAGAATGTGTTTTCATATGAGCGCATAGATGTTTGTTCAGTAAACGAAAATCAAATTTTCAAGAGCTGGGCGCAATCCACAAATGACGAATGAATCTTTCATTTATAAAATCCAAAACCAAAAAAAGATCAATACATTGAGTTCGTTCGTTCACGTCATTATTTATTCATGCGTGCACACGACACTAATGGAGAAAAAAAAGAAATTCTCTTATATTTCGGAAAATTTGGTGAATTCATCTGAATGTATCGCTAAAAGCGAGCGATATTGTCGCCCATCTAGTTCCATGAATTCAATGAAAATTTTAGTTTGAAATGAGAGGATATTAAAAAAAAAAACGATTATTCTTCATCGGTTTTGAGCAAATTCATTGCGATTTTATCGAGAAGATATTTGATCATTTTACAGATCAGCTGATCATGAGATGAATCTGATCGAATGTATGCTAGTTGATCTTGGGAGTCTGATTGTGAATAACTTATTGAGATTCAGGGTAATTCAATAACTCATAGAGATTCAGGGTAATTCATTTACCCTCAAAAAAATTCTTGTAAATTAGCGAAATGGTTAGCCAAAAATTTTGCACAGGTGTAGTGCAAATGAAAATGAGTTTCATTAGTAAGTTAAAGAAATGAAATGAAAAGCGTTTGATTCATTGAGGGTTTGCATTTGATTCACAATCAGATTGCTGCAGTAGGTTTGATTCGATGAAGATTTGGAGATGAAACACTTCAATTGTTACAGGACAAATGGTGGAAGAGACTGAAACAGAGCTATGAGGGTCGTGCATTCCATAATCTTGAGCATTTATGTGAAATGCTGAATTTGTTCGAGGAGTATAAGGATAAACTTCGTGACCGTTACGCTACTGCATTCGCGATCTTCTTTATTCAGTCAGATGATTTTCATTGAGCCATTCACATTGTTTTGTTTTATTTTATATCATCATTGGCCCATTTCCATTTGCTCTGACTGAATTTAGCTTAAGAGATCCGTCCTCAAAAGTGATCAATCGTTTTGTCGTCTTAAATAAGGATTGATTCGTAAAGGTTGACAAAATTTTAGTGCCGTGAACGATACAAAATTAACGGATAATGCTGAACGAAGTGCACGATTGTTTCGCGAGTTTTCCTCTGAAACAACGATTGATTCGGTTAATTTTTTGTTTTTCATTCGAAACTTCGAACAGTCTATTATAGTTATTTAATCTCTCATTATATTAATCATGAAAATTTGATGTTAATCAGAGAAAATTTAATTTAATTTGTGCATTTCAGGAGAATTATGTGGCGAATTTGATTGTGGAAAGCGGCAAGAACTGTACGGATGCACACATGACTGAGGGTCAATTCGGTGAAGATGATTTGCATTTTTTGTTGGATTTCGATATGGCATTCCTGGGGTGTGATACGCAGAAGTATGAATCGCACGTTGAGAATATCCGCAAGGAGTACACACATTTGAGTGATGAAGATTACACTGATCAGAGACTTAAGGTGATCGATTGATTTATCTCATCAACGAAGTAATAATCATTATGGCTCTATTGAATGTCCATCATTTATTTCATTTTATAGAGTAGTTACAAACTTTTTATAAACATGTTTAACACCTTAACATAACAACTGTTCAATAGAATGTCCGAGATCAAAGTCTTTGCCTATGGTCAAATTCCTAACCAATATCTTTATCTGCTCTAAGCCAGTACATCTGTTATAGGGATATAATTAATCCTTATCTTGAGAATATCAACTAACTTGTGCACATTATCAATTTCAGGTGCTGAAACTGTTTATGCAGATTCCGAATATATTTGCAACCAAAGAACTACGTGAACGCTTCGAAGCACAGGCACGACGGAACATTGCCCATGAAATTGAGCTTCTCTCCAAAAAGTGATCTTTCCAACTGATGTGGATGGATTTCAAATTTTAATTTTGGTTCATTTCATTTTGAAATTTCCATAGATTTGCTACGCTGCTTCCGATTGTTTTGTGCGCTATGTTATCGACGATGTATTTATGCCAATTTTCGCGCATTGCATTTTGTTTGAAATATAATATTTATGATTGTCGTAGAAACTTTATTTGTGTGATTTGTATGTTTATGGAATGCGATTTTGCGCGTTGGCGATTAATAATTTGATTCAGTTGAATATTTTGTTATCAAAATTATGCATTTGACTAAATTATTTCTCAATGAATCTATATTTACGCTTTTGTTGGTTTATATTATATCAGGAATAAAGTCTCGTCTGCATTCAGCATTCCAAGTGACCACTGCATCTGAATTTTTGGATGATCTGCTTATGGAAGAGTTGATATAAGATATGACTAAATGGTGAATCATATTAAACAGTGATCGATTAATAATGCTGGGACAGTGTCCATTGATCCTGTACTGATCAAATTAGCTAGCAAATTATAAGATCTAATTATAAATAACTAATAATAACAGCAGCAACAATAGTAATACTAAAGGTGATAATGATAATGACCATATCAATCGCGATAATGACAGATTTCTTTAAGCTATTATTCAAAAGTTTCCGTCGAGCACAATCGAAAACGAAACGGCTACTGAATGTCCGAATGGTTACCATGGATATTTGGATATAAACAGACTAGATATGCAACTAGATATGACTAGATATGCGTTCAAGCCTAGCAACATACGCATTTATATTCAATGTAGTTGCATGCTTCACTCGTCATATTGCTCATTACATATAAATTTGTGTTGAAATGATGATTCGGGATCGAATTGTTTTTGCGCACTTATTTGACTACTAATCAACGTTCAGTTGATCCATTTGTTGCTGATTTATATTCTTTAAGTTAATCCCCTTTCTAAATCATTTCTTATTGGGAACAAGGGTGGATGTATTCTTAGAAGACAGGTGTCGATGTCGAGATTTTTGGTGAATATTTGCGATGCTTGATAGCCTTTGATAGCTTGGCGTTTGATAGCCTGGCCAGTCCGGGTAATTCAGGTAATGCAGGTAATTTGCGATGCTAATGAACAGAATTTGAGGAGAGTTATCGATGAATTGACGATGATTAAACTAAGTGGCCAATTGTTCGGTGATAATGAGTAGTAAATGGGTGTCGGCATTGCACGACCATTCGGCCGGTATCAATAGTGTGCCGGAATGTGTTGGATTAAGCGATCTGCACGGCGATGGCGATTACAAGCTGATCATTGGCGATATGGGCACTGGACGATACAACATGAGATTGAAGGTGTTCAAAGGATTGACTCTAATTGGTGAAAGTGTGCTAACGGATGTGCCTTCTGCTGTGGTGCCGTTCATCAATGAGCTGGTAAAGAGAAGTTCTGACTGTAATCCTAATGAAACTTTGATTTTGATTCCGATTCCACTGAAACTCTGATTTTGATTCACTGAAACTTTTGACGATTATTTCTCTGAAAGCATTGACCACTGATCCCGTATAGTTTAGTCCAGGTAATGCAGGTAATTTGCGATGTCGAGATTTTTGGTGAATATTTAAAATGATAACCCAAAAGGATATCAAACGGAAGAGTAGACAGAATTGAGAGGGATATTTGTGAATTTTCGGTTAGAAGTTGCTAAGAAGTGAAGGAAGTATTTAATGAGAATGAACGTTCATGCAATATTAAAATGGACGAAAGTGTAGCACCATACGAAAGTAATACCGTTCCAGATTCAACCAACGCTACCTTCAATAGCAATTTCCTCAGGGCCATCGATTCTGATCTACAAAAACTTGAAACCATTCTATAAGTTCAACATACCGGCAATGGAGATCAACGACAGTGAAATGGAAGCATGGCTTCACGTTGAAGCATCACAAATTGATGCCACGCAGTTGTTTGCTGTACTAGCGAAATTGCGAAAACAGGTTGGCCAGACCAAATTGTTAACAATTGTAACGAAGTGTTCATTTTTATTGCTATGCGTAAAAGTAGTGATGCCATTTCACCCGCAATATATTGGTTAATTTCCTCGAGTTGAGCACTTTACTGAGTGAGCAAAACAGCAAGGAAAGCCTCATCATGGAGATACGCACAACTGAGCATCGTGAGCTTCAAAAGATTCTAATTCATGAACTTCAGTTGTCAATTAATGATCGATGATCTATAAAAAGATCACTATTATTGTGAAATCACTAGTTTGGCGGTGTTATGAAATCTCTCAGCTGCATGACATGCATTTAGCTATATCTCTGTAGCCAAGCGCAATCCCTCACATGACTTTGTGAGATTACAGATCGTGGCCAGCATGATTATGAGTAAAACACTGTGTTGCTGAATAAATCTGCTGAAGATAGAGGTTGTTTGAAAGGGGAGATGCTGATCTTCCTGCAATAGTGTATCATTGGTCATTGCATTAGCTATGATATCCCATATTCCGCTTTATCTGTTCAGGCGAATTCTGACTGTTAATCCAAGCTTTCAGCTAGGTACCGTTGGCTTAACGGCAAGATCTCAAGCGTTTCTGATGGCCAAAGAAGACGAGCGTGAACAGTTAATCGAACGCTATCGTGGCAAGAAACTGATCCGTCAAAGTATCATAACATGTATGTCAACCTTGAAGAAATCCACAGCGGATTCATGCGGAATCGATTGCATAGTGATCGGCACTGAAGTTGGCATGATCTATTGTGTTGATTCGCAAGCTTTCACAGTGCTCTCACAATGTCAGGTACCTGCTGCACCGGTTTTCATTCATGCTACAGGTAAGACCCTGAACTTTTTCGTTTCATTTCTCGTCACGAGGCAGATATCATTTGAAGATTCTGTGTTTTCAGCAATCGGATGAATGTATCTTATAAGAACTGCAATCTAAATTTCAAAAGTTTAGAGGGCCAGATGGCTTGGAGATGATGTATTTGATAACCAAAGTCTATCGACTTATCCTTATCAAGATTAACGCTAAACCTAGAGAATAGTGCATATACATACCCACATTTTTAGGATTTTAGCTAAATGATTCAATCTGAGTGTAAGCGATCTCAACCATTCAAGACAATTCCTCACAGTTCATTTATGAGCTATTCGATTTGGGGTTGTGGTACTGTGTTCTGTGTGTTCTAGGTGTGTATGATGTGGACTATCGAATTTTCGTCAGTACTCGTGAGGCTGAGGTTTTCACTATCAAACGAGGCGTTGAGTCTCTTCAACGAGCCACCATCGCACTTAAATCCGATATTATCGGTATGATTCGAGTTGGGAAACAGGTCAGTTCCCTTCTGAATTTATCCCTTATCGCTTATCGCTTTGTATAACCGCTCCAAATCCGAATCATTCACGGGTGTATTTCCGGCTGAATCGTTACTAATAGAACAACCGATGTAATGTATGGAATTGGTGAGGTATTTTGCGATTTGATGAGATTGGAAGAAGAAAATGTTTTTCAGTTGGTTGTGGCTTGTGAAGATTCGACCATATCGTTTTTCTCGGCGAAAGGACGACGACAAAATCAACTGAAGATGAACACACCGATCCGTTGCATAGACGTCTTCGTATACACCCCAAGGCAGTACACTGCGCTGTTAGTAGCGTTGGATAATGAGGTATTCGGGCATTTCACAGTTATTTGCTCTAGGGAATTAAGTGTTCAGTGCCGTTTTTTTGTTTCGTTAGAGATAAATTGCTGATGCTTCGTCGGAATAAGAGAAATTGGATTTTGATGGATTTTGGTCGAGTATACTGAGGATGAGAGGATGTGCGATAATTGTGTTCCAATGATAGGTTCAGAATGGGATCCGATGAGATTTGTTTATATAGTTGCAATTTCAGATTCGAATTTATCAAGAGCTTTTTCTGATGGATTCGGTGAAGATTGACACGCCGATTAAGTGGATTCGATATGGGCCGATGGGTCGAGAAGAAGGTGCACTAGTAATTGGATGTAGAAGTGAGTTTGTGTGATAAAGCAATGATAAATGATAGATTCTGTGATTGATGATATAGATAACTTCTCTGATAACGGACTATCAATCAGCTCTGAATTATGGTGAAAGCTCGCTAATTATGATGGAAAATAGCGGCGGCGCTTTTCGTTTGGATTTGCTGCAAACCAAAATATGCTTCGCTCATTACGCATTCGGTCTTATCATCTCATTTATCATTTATCATTGCTTCATGTTTTTTTTCCTTTTTCATAGATGGCGGTTTGATTGTGAAATTATTTCGTCGAACTGCAAAACTGGATCAGAAATGCGGCGAGATGGGACCTCCAGTAGCGCAAACGAAAAAGTTGAACGTTCCTCGACGTACGAAAATTTTCGTTGATCAGACAATTCGTGAACGAGAACAAGCACAAACCATGCATCAAGTACGTTATCAACTCAACGTTTAACTCATTCATTCATTTTTAACTCTTAAACTCAAGTTTCTTTCATCTCTTTTTGCTTGTAAACGACGAAAAAGTCTCTTGTAAAGTTGAGAAGTTGAAGACGTTGTTCTGGAATTGTTTGCAAATGTTCAACGCAATGTTCCTGCGATGAAAAAGCAACTTAAATAGTGTGAAGTGATCGTGTAATCAATGACTTTCAATTGAAAAAACTCATTTCATTCGAATTTTTAACAATTTTCTGTTGCAATTCTTTTTGTAACTCTTATTGTGCAATTTTAAATTTATTTCATTCAGAGTTTCCGTTTGAGTTTCGAGCAGCGTTTAGTTTTTTGTAACGAAACAGTTTTTAAGCGAATGCCGTCAAGAGCCATTCGTCAAATGTTCTCTGACTTTTTGACTTTTTTGGCTACTGATTCCCATTTCCAGAAAACAACCCATCAGATAATTGTTATGTAGCTATAATTGATGCTTGATTGTCTATTAGATGACGGTTATGACTGTACAGTTAAGAAAATATCACCACGATTAAACGAGAACTATCGAGGATTGAATTGATAAAATCACTAATCATAAAAGAAGAGGGGTACTCTCTTCTATAAGAAAATCGCATGCAATTCATTGTTCAAAAGTGTCTTCGTTGTTTTTCTATCGCACTTCTACACACCTCTAACCAGTTATTTGCTGCTAAAGAAAAAATGCAACATCACAATTTTACTATTTAAGTATATCTTCAGTGAGATGTTTTTCACCAATAAAGTAACGAATCCGTCAAAACGATGTTTCGAATTGGAGTTTTTTTAAAATAGCGATGATGCAGCAATGCAGTTAAATCATATCAAATACGAAACTTGTTATTGTACGTACGTATGTAATGTTAGAAATGTTTTTTGATGTTATACGAGTGCATTGCAATTAGATATTACGTACATTTAGATGTAGAAGTCAAACGAATGTAACATACAGAACTAATTGAATCCATAAAAATTGGAGCATATTAAGAGTATTACTTTTTACGATGAGGCATTAAGTCATAGTTTTTACACAATCTCTTCTTAATTTACCTATCTTACTTACTATTCTCTCGGAGTGGTCAAGAGGTAACCAAAATGTTTTTGTTCAGTGTTAGTTGTTAAAACGTTTACATGCAGCATCTAAAAACTCCGTTTACACTTCATGCAGTGTACAGCAATAAATATTACATTGCATACCTTTTATTACAATACTTTCGTCATATTTATTGCCATGGAATTCAAGTTGAATGCAGAACTTTATGGAGATTTATGGTATTCTAGGTGAGTTTAAGCTTTCAGAGGATTTCTGGATGAGTCCGATAAGTTTAGTCTCGATTCTGGTTCTCATTTTGCACCGATGATAACTGATCATTGTGTTTATTGTTTCTTTATGGGATTTCAGTTGTTTTGCTTTCATCTCGTGAAATCTTTGAGGGTAACCTGAAAGAGACTTTTATATCAGGCGAACAGAACCATACTTTCAGCTATAATTTCAGAATTTTTTCTTTAAGAAAGCAAATTTGAATAGATTTCGAACAATTTCAATCGGTCAATTATTTTGAATCGGTTTCATGATAACTGCGTGAATTGTAGATTTTCCAAAGGGATCTCTTCATGCTTCGACTATCGGTAACTCGTGCTTACGCGGGTTTAATGCAGAACGCTTTGGGTACGGTATCGACGAAGAAGAACGAGGCCGTCGAGATTTCGGTGGAGATCAATGGCTTTGGACCAACCTTCCGAATGATCGTTAAGCTAAGAGTTGCATCGTAAGTTGCAGTTATCGAACTCTAACTCGTTCAGGTCATAACTCGATTTGCGGTTTCTGAAACGGAAAATCGAAATTTATTCCGCGTTCAATCCTGAAACTGAGTTTAAAGAGCAACAAGAACAACAAAACACGCTTATAGTTAGTGTGCAGTTTTGGGGAAAAAAGTTTGCGAGTAGATGAAAGGAAATAGGTGGAACTGGAGTATTTTAAACAATTCTTCAAAATCATCACGTATTCTAAGCTATCATCAAAAATTTTTCCAACGAAACTGACAAAACGAATCAAAGATAACATCGATAACGTTGCCTAAACACTATGCTTTCACTTTCACTTATTTTGCTTATGTTAGCTAATC